CTCGTGAGGCTTCAAAATAATTGTTATTGTACTATTTTTTTTTAGAGAATCATTTAAACGCGATCTTTTCTGGTACCGACTTTCACGTAATGTAAACAGGACCTCTCATTAGAAACAACTACTGATACGAGAAAAAATTATATCATCCTTGAGTGAGATCTTCTACGAAGCGGTTGTAAGTTCTCGACGTGTGTTGGTGAAAGACGCTGTTCACAAAGAAAGCATTGCGTGCAAGGAGGTATATATATATATATATATATGTTTGTTTGTTATGGATTTCGCGCAAAGCTACGCGAGGGCTATCCGCACTAGCCGTCCCTAATTTAGCAGTGTAAAACTAGAGAGAAGGCAGCTAGTCATCACCACCCACCGCCAACTCTTGGCTACACTTTTACTAACGAATAGTGGGATTGACCGTCACGTTATAACGCCCCTACGGCTGAAAGGGCGAGCATGTTTGGTGTGACGAGGATTCGAACTTCTAATTAGGGGTTTGTTTTTTAATTAAGCGTATAAATTCTTCTTCTTTAATGTATTCAACATGAACCACTCGAAGCATCATCTTTTTGGTCGTTTGTAGACATTAACAACTTAGCAATATTATCCACTTATAGTACAATTTAACTGAGTTTTAACCACTCGCACCACCACGCAGTAGTGTGTTGTCTGTCAGTCGGTCATTAGACACTAAAATGACGTCACATAAGGGACGTTTAGCATTGCTATCTGTACTGTCGTGACGTCAGTGAAACGTGCGCATGGCATGAATCACGAGAAGAATTATGCACACTCTATGCTACAACACAGCATGGCATATGAACTTGAAAAGCAAGAAATTTGTTACTTTTAATTTTGGTTTTATTTATTCTTGAAACAGAACACTTTCGGAGACCCTGCGCTCGTACATCTAGTATATATATCTATCAATATGTATTCAAGATTCTAAATCCGTGTATTGTTGTAGTCTTAAAGCTTTTTCTTTTGTGGAATAACTTGTTGTGACGTGTCTGTATCCTGCTGTTTCCATAGCGAGTTTGTTGTATGGATCCTGGCGAAACAAGCTTTTTCTAGAAGCTTGGACAGTCCTAGCTCGTAATAGATATTTCTGTTGAGTTTACATTTGGTGTTCGTAGTAACTATTACTAACCAAACATGCAAGAAAAAAAACATCTACTTGTTCAGTGTTGGTAGGAGAAAAAAAATGTATGTTTTTGTTTGTAATTAAGCACATAGCTACACAATGTGCTATATGTGCTCTGCCCACTACGGGTATCGAAGCCCGGATTCTAGCGTTGTAAGTCCGCAGACATACCGCTGTGTCACTGAGGGGCCTTTGTTAGGAACATTTGTATTGTGTACAGTGACTACCGGGCACATTTTATACCGATATACACAAACTTAAGCTCAGACTTAATTAACTTAAAGTGCATATAAAACCATTGAGTGAATATTGTTTAATTATAAACATTGACCCTGATGTTAGGATAATTGGGTGAATATTGTTTAATTATAAACATTGACCCTGATGTTAGGATAATTGGGTGAATATTGTTTAATTGTAAACATTGACCCTGATGTTAAGATAATTGGGTGAATATTGTTTAATTATAAACATTGACCATGATGTTAAGATAATTGGGTGAATATTGTTTAATTATAAACATTGACCCTGATGTTAAGATAATTGGGTGAATATTGTTTAATTATAAACATTGACCCTGATGTTAGGATAATTGGGTGAATATTGTTTAATTATAAACATTGACCCTGATGTTAGGATAATTGGGTGAATATTGTTTAATTATAAACATTGACCCTGATGTTAAGATAATTGAGTGAATATTGTTTAATTATAAACATTGACCCTAAATATACAAGTAATGAAAAACTTTTCAAAAAAGGAAGTAAATGTAGGGATAGCTGATATCAATCCTTCAAAAACAATGCAAACAAGACAGTAGGGATGTCATATGCAGGAAACACTGTATAGCATTGTGAGGTTTTGATGACCTATTGAGGAGATATTTAAAATACCATTTTGATGAAGAATCCGAGTCATCCATACATAGGCAGTGCTGCCACCTGCCTGATATCTCATAAACGTATTCCAGTTCCTTGTTTTATTAATTCATCTCGATATGTCCCCTCCCCCGTAAGTAACTCAGCGCTAAAAATCAGGTTTTGATACCCGTAGTGGGCACCGCGCAGATTTCCTATTGTGTAGTTTTGCGCTTAACAACAAGCATCACTTGAGTTGAGTTCAGAATTCAAGCATCGTTCCCAGCTACTGCATACTGCTGTGTCAGTTATCACGTTTTGCCAACTTTTACCATCTCAGTTTTACCTAAAACATCTACCACTAAGTTACTGGTTATATTACACAGTTCTTTTAAAACTATTTGAGTTATTTGGTCCTCACTATGCTAAGTTTTTAGTTTATCATCAATTAAACAATTCCAAAATTGTTTCAGTAAGTATTAGCTGCTCTGCTTCTTCCATTTGTTATAAACTTAGAAAAATGTTTACTGGGACCTATTAACTATTGTACAACTTTTCTAGAAAAACCCACGATCCTACTAACCCTACGGATGCTTTAGCCAACTAAGCTATTTTAATTAAAAACCTGTCACGCTAGTACTCAGTTTTCATTTCATTGATTATAAAAGATTGAATGAATTTTCCTCTGTTTTTTTTTTTGTTTTTTTTTATCTATTCTAAGATTGGTTAGGTATTTCCAGCATCTTCTAATTTAACACAGACTTCGATGTATTTTGTAGTTTTTCACTCATAAAATAGGATTGGTAGGTTTTCCTGGCCATTATGTGTTTCATCCGTCTGTAAGATTTGTACTTGTTATCTTTACAGCCGTTTCAGAGTTCGTGTATTAGAAGGGTACGTGTAATACGATAGTTTCTATTAACTGATAACCTTCCCAGCTATCCCCCCCTTTTTTTAGTGTATTTATTTTAAAATTGACGTGAGAGTCTAGAGAGAGACAAAAAAACAGTGTACGTATTTCCTGCTACGTGGCGCTGTCCTCTTTTATCAAGTTGGGAGCATAAATAGTAAAAGAAAGCAAGTACATTCTGTTCATTCTTTGCTATCACAAGCAAGGACAAGCAGCTTGATTTCTGCAGAAGGACCCATCAAGGTCTCTTGAATAAATGGTTACTCATTTGCATATCGATTATTGTACGTACTAGTGCGCAGCTGCCTTGACAGACTGGGGACTGCTCAATCCCCGTCGTTTGGGATCGCCCACCGTGGAAATAAAGGGGTACAGGCACGACACAAAGCAAAGGGGAGGGGGTAGTGGACCGTGACATAGAAAAAATATATTTATATTGTAACGTAATTTTTGATATAGAATGAGAGGAACAAGGTGAGTCCAAATATTCTTTCCTTTCTGAGCTGGCTACACCAGGTTCACTAAACAATGTATTTAACAAAACAATAATACTAGAAATGAGATTAAGTGTTAAAGCCAGCCAGATTTTTTGTGGGAAGTATTTCGGTTTTTTTTTAAAGTTCAGAAATCACCATAACATATACCTAGAACGCGCGTTAGTCAACTTACTACCCTGCTGGCATTTGTAAAGTAGATAAAAAAAAAATGGATCGTTTGTCCGCTCCAAGTAGTTTTAAATTTCGTGTTATTGTTTTTTTGCTTATCTATATATATATGTATGCGTACATATACATTTCATATTAAAAATAAAACATTAACTATATACCACTATTTAATCTACTTCTCAGTACGAATAGTTATGAAAATGTATATTTTCCTCTTATGTAAGAAAAGCAATATTCTATGGAACGCTTGCGCCATCTGTCCGTTACCAAAATCATTAATTATATTAAAAGCAATATGTTCGTTTTAGTAAACAGTTTAGAATACTAGCAAAGTTCATTAAAATATATTTGCCTTATTGACTTCGAAACTTGTTTATAATTTTATATTTTATTTAAGCTTACATTTTTGAATATTATGATGTTTCTTTGGGTCTCCTATACTTTAAAATGAATGATCAATTTGTGAGGGTAGGTCATACATCCATTTAAATTTATCCCTTCTGATTTTATAATTTCAGTTATTATTTGATGATATATTCTAATCTTGATTTGCTGTTGGTTATTAAATGAGTCTCAAAGTGATGAGATTTTGGATGATCTGGACACGTTGAAGTTCATATTGTCATTCCAAGACTTAAAATCTTGAATATTTTTTTTAAAAGTAGAATATAGAACAGTGATCAGCAACCTATGACCCGTGGCAGTGATTTGGCTGACCCGGCATGGCCAGGTAGTTAGGGCACTCGACTCGCAATCTGAGTGTCGCGGGTTCGAATCCCCATTCCACCAAACATGCTCGCCCTTTCAGCCGAGGGGGTGTTATAATGTGACGGTTGATAAAAGAGTAGCCCAAGAGTTAGCAGTGGGTGGTGATGACTAGCTGCCTTCCCTCTAGACTTACACTGCTAAATTAGGGATGGCTAGCGCAGATAGCCCTCGTGTAGCTTTGTGCAAAATTCAAAAACAACAACAACCGCCAGAAGTTGGCTTCACCGTTGCAACCCGTGAAGGCACAATCATTTCTCAGTTCAAATTTCTCAGCTATGTGAGAAGAACAAAGATATTAAAGGAAAAATGGAAAAGAGTCACAGCTATAGAGAATTTTAAGATCAGTTTAAGGTGGAAAATATTCAAGCTGGTCAAACAATTAATTTTGTTTGTTGTATTTAAATAAACATACACATTTAAATACATGTATCTGTATTATGAATTATATGACTATCACTGACCCAACAAAATGCTAAATTAAAAAAAAAAGTAATTGATCCGCGATCAAAAAAGGTTGCCGATCACTGATAGATAGATCCGTGTTTGTATGTGTGTGTCGTGAAAACTTAATGACTTTTTTTTTTATCACAGGGTTATCGATTAGCATTGTTTACAAATCAACTTATAAGTGGCATATTCAATTCTATATATTCTTTTAGTACGTAATGAACATGGTTGAAGATGACCCACGTCGTATGGATGAAATAAGAAAGTATGCTGCCATCTATGGGCGGTTTGACTGTAAGAGGAAGCCTGAAAAGCCTCTCACCTTACACGAGGTTTGTTGTGGCCGTATTACTTGTCACCAGAAAAGTTTTTTTTAAATATCTGTAAAGAAATAGTTGAAGTTTATCTAAGTTATATGTGGGCTTGCTTCAGGGACATCTTTTCAGTAGAAGGTGTTAACTGAAAGATATTTTACTGCTGAGACTCAAATAAAACACATAATTAACAAGGTATAGTAGTGTATATCTAAAAACAGCAAACAACACGTCAGAACATGTAGAAGATGTGAAGTGAATAGAGTTTGAAGTAGAGACTCAAATGAAACACCACAATTTTGAAGATGTTAACTGAAAAACATTTTACGGTAGAGACCCCAATAAAAAGTTTAGAAGATACAGGAAGTTTCAAGTGCAAAAGATTTTGTAGTATTGAAGTTGCATAATTTAAATTGTTTAAAAAAATTCATCATTTTTTTCAATTTTCATTACTGTTGAGAAAATATACAAATTCTGAACAACATATGTTAGAAAGTGTAACTATGTGTATGTGTGTTAGGTTGAGAATTTGTATTTCTTTCACACATTTTAACACTTGTTCACATCTTAAACAAACATTTTTTTTTACTTTTTATTCTTTTTTTTCCTAACTCTGTGATATTTTGTAGCCCCAGGATTGACAACATTGGTAACTAATTTAAATCCTCATATTAAGGACTTCTACAATAAGGAAAACAGCTTTTCAAGTTTGAGACTATATTTGTGGCAGTAAATGTTGAAACTAGGCATTAGTTGTGTTATATCAGTTATTATTATTATAACATATTTCTTGCATACGTTTGTCAGCTGAGGTTCAAGTCAGGTTTGAATTGAGTTATACCAGCTAGTACTAATGTTCCCATGCTTGTATCAGTCTTGTACAATATTTACTTATTAACATTTTTTAAAGATAAACATTAGATAATATTACACTTACAGACTTTTAATAATGAGAAGGTGATTCCCATGGTTTTCAAATGTTATGGTACTAATATTAATAACAGACACGGTTTTATCACCACTAATGTTTTTTTTCGTGTGTGTATTATACATTAATTGTTTTGCTTAATAATAACATAATACAACCAGATCAATAGACCTTTCTTCTTCATTAAAGTGATAATACAGAGTTGGAAATTTACTTGATTGCAATAGTTTGTGGTTAAAGTTTACTGCATAATAGCCTACAGTAATGTTTCCCTTAATTATTAATAGTTTATCTTAAGCTAGACTTCAGATGGTAGAAATGTATATTAATAATGGAATTATAAGAAAAGGTTAAAGTAGATAATTACTATCCTTAGCTGAAACATTGAGTACTTTTCTGAAGTTGTGCTACTTTATAACGATAGATTTATAAATCACACGTACGGAACAAAGAAAAAATTAGTAATAGGAATACAATATATTTCATTTTCATCTTTCCCCTGAATGTGCTCATTAAGGGCAATAATACATAATTAAATACATACAAGTGGATTTCACCGTGATGCAAATTTGGGAATGAATATTAATGAATTCAGTTCAGAATTGCATAGCACTTCCCAGCACTACCGTAGTGGCACTGTAAATACACTGATGAGTGTTCTGCTGGTATAACTCAATTTGAATTGAATATGTTACTTGTAAGGTAACAAACCTGAGTATAGTATGTGCTGCCCTCTTACCAACTTCTATATTTGATGAAGTCTTAAATAATTAAAATCACCTTGGCAGTTAAATGTTAATGTGGACTAATTATTTATATTTAATTAGGTATCTGTCAATGAGGCTGCTGCTCAAATCTGTAAACATATACCTTCCCTCCTGACCCGTCGAGATGAACTTTTCCCGTTGGCTCGTCAAGTGGTACGAGACAGTGGCTACCAATACTCTAAAGGTCATTCCAGGTACTAACTTTCTATGACAGCTGAGGTTTTATTTTTGAACTGAATTAATTATTTTTCTGTAACTAAGTGATGAAATAATACTTCAACATATACCAGTTATCACTCGTTTATCCATCTACAGCTGGTATTAAAAAATAATGGTGAAAATTGTATAAAAAATGTTTCATAACTTTTGTCACATTTCTCTTCTCCATTTTCATTACTGTTGAGATATTTTATAGCCTTATTATGATAAGCGTATAAAACACCTGTTACCTTCAGTTAAACATTTGATTTTTTCTTTTATTAAATATTTTAATTAGCTGGAATGGTATGTTAAATTTTACAATAATGTTCTCAAATTTATGAAATGCATCAACCAGTTGATGTTCTTGCTAAAATAATAACATTATCAACGTACTATTACAACTGTTTGTATGAAAAATATGATCTTAGAAGAATACAAAATTAAAGAACCTTTGTAAATTTCAAAATGGAAAAAAGAAGGACAGTGAACGCGTGCGTTGGTGTTGTTTCATATCAAAATTATTCTGACTTTCATCTATAACTTTGAATGGTGGACCTACTTTAGTCTTTCACGATTATATATATATATAAACTTTAAAATACATAGTATTTGACTTTTAATGTTATTCCTGATGATTAAGAATCAAACCATTGCAGTGTAAAATGTTTTAATATTTTCTGTTTTTTGTGTGTTGTTTCGTATTGTAACTCGTTTTATTTATTGTAAACAATTATATTCTCCGTTAATTTCATGGAATTTTATTTAATTAGAGAGTGAAGATAGTAAATGTTTTTGGTGATTTTTTTAGTTTAGTTATTTTTGTTCTTGTTATAGGTTCTTGGTTTTTCATTCCACAATTTTGAACTTAGTTTTCAGTTCCCATGCACGAACAAAATTAGCAAGTTTTCTCCTTTGAAATAAAAAAACAAACATGGATCTTGGTTTGTTTTTATGCTAAGAAAAATGAGCCTTATTCAGCCATTGCTTTATTATGTTAATTGTAGAAGAAAAAACTATAGAAGTAAATAAAATATGTTAAAACTCGAATTATTTACAAAATAGCTTATTAATCTTTTCCATTTTTTTGTGAGATTTTTTTTTTCAGATCTTTAGCTTTTATTTTTGAAACAAGGTTTTATATTTTTTTTACCATCAATGGGTTACTATAACATTAAATTACAATAAGCTATATCCACCTGTAGTGTTCTTTTAATTTGAAAACTTACCCTTCAAAATAAAAATGAGAATCAATTTTATCAGTCATGAGAGAGTTTATTGCTGTAAGTTGAGATTAAGTTATCGCTTCATTCAAAAAGTTTCATGATTCAAGATGAGCTTGATGGGCCTTCTACATGGCAGCTAGAACATAATGACCAGTTTGGATGATACTTACAGGTCGCAGAACTATAACAGGTCTTTTGATGAAGAAAATTGCAAACATCCTAGGCTTGACCCAAGCCCTAACAGTTTAACAGACAAAGTTCAACTTGAAGAAAAGAGAAAAAAATGTCAGGTATGGTCCCCTACTTTGATCCCACCGGTGTATCAAGGTGGAGGACATGAAGATGGGAAATAGTCTATACTTCTTCTGACTAACTCCGATTTCTTAAAACATAGGAATATTTTTTGAATAAGAATTCTAACATTTTTATAAATTACAGGTTTAGGGATTGAATATGTTTAAACGGTCGTAGAGATCATACTTTCTTATATGATTGGTTTTCGGTTTCTTCTCCTCACTTTAATGGTTCAAACATTAATTAGCAGTACTTTTGCTAATTTATTTGTTTTACATTCAATACTGACAACAAAGTTTGCCAGTTTCATTCGAGATGAATATAAAAAGACCAACAAACCCACACCCACTCTTTTATATTTGACTGGAGGCCATTTATAAAGATAAAGACTAATAATAATACAGTTTTAGCTGTGGTAGACACAGTTTCAACAGTGGCACGTGATTCAGAAGTTCTGTAATGGTTAAAAAGGTCGGAGAGTTTAAATATTGACCTTCTTGTTTTTAGTTGTTTTATTCGTGTGAGAGGTTTTCGTATGACGTTTCTTGTAACATTATTTTCTGAATGAAACTCTAAGGAGTAATACTGTTTAATTTTTTTAAATTATGTAGCGTAACTGTAATAAAGTTTACATTTTTTAAAGTTTATGAAAATTGAAACAATGAAGTAAAAGCTGTTGAATTATTGAGGTTGACATTTTAAAATTCTTTACAGATCGTTGTAGCTACGTATGTCAAAGTTGTACGTTAAATTAAACCATAGAGTACTTATAACAGTTTCTTCTATAATGATTTACAAATATTTAGATTATTCATATTATATTAATATCTTAGAATACTCCTTTTCCTGTCTGGAAATCGGATATTTTTTATATCGCAGAGTTTTTTTTCGTATCTATTTTCCTTTCAAACTTTCTAATCTTGTTTACTTTTTGAACTTTTGTAACACTTAAAACTTCAGCTGAGTAATGTTTCAAAGATTAATATTAAAAATTTTATCACTGGATTTAAAATTGTGAGTTTTTGTTTCACCTTCCAAATTGAAAACCAAAAACATTTGATTTTTATAATAGAAAATATCCTATTCAATCTTCTCTTACACATTCCAAATTATAATCATACTTAAGGTAAGGGCTACTTTATATTGAATAAAACTAAATCAGATTTCATCTAGTCGTATCTCAACACACACCCACCCCTTTTAGCCCATTGTGTAACTTTGTGACTAATAACAAACAAACAAATCGAATGTAATCATTAAACTCCATCAGTAGTTATTAAGAACTTTAGTTTTATTCTTATGCTTTTGAAATTATAAGTGCAGTAACTTGTGAGCCGTAATAAACAAGATACCATTATCAAGTGCTGCCACTAAGTGTTGGTTTGACGTGTATCTTATCAAATCATTTAAAATTAAGTTTGTTTTTGTAGGATAAGGAATATTAAGTTCTGTTGTAATGTTTATTCTTTCAGGACAGGCTGGAGAACATAGATGAACAACTTAAGACTTTGGGTCGACAGCAGGAAGAAATGAAGATTCGACTGAAGCAAGCTCGAGAGATTCAAGATTACACTGGAGCCAATCAAATTCAACCTCAGCTTGAACAGATCTCAACTCAACAAATGCAACTGATAAATGAACAAAGTGAACTTAATAAACAGCTGAAAAGAATAGAAAGGTGTGTGAGAATGTTTCTGTGATTTATCTTTGTCCTTTAAAAAAAAGAAGAAAAACCTCAACAGAAGAGATTAAAAATTACTATCAGTCATCATATCTTGGGCATCAGATTTTGATGTTTCTTTTCTCCAAGTGTATGTATGGTGTTTAACTTTCTGTAACCACAGACATAATGTGTTACTTAGTGATTTCTGACTGAACTTGGTTACCTGCTACGATCAATGAAATAAAGATACACCCACACAAACACTTACACACACATAATATTAGCTATTGCAGTTTCTTAGCAACAGGCTTCAAGAATATTTAATTCTTATATAAAGGAGCATCAGTTTTATAATATAAATGTCACCAAACTATTAATAAATGGGGGACCACATTTTTCTGTAGTTGAAACAAGTCAATATCTTAAGTTTAAAGTATCTCAACAATGTTTGTTTTTTATAATTTGATGAGAAAGTGGCATATTTATTAACTTTTCAGCTTATGTACTACAGTGTTACAATTTCTGTAACATCAAAATATTACCTGACATGAAATTAATTTTGCCAACTGAAGGATATCCTCTCTATAAATAAAGTCACGAACTTAGCATGAATTTTTTAGGTGTGTTGAATAGATGTGGTACCTATATCTCATGAATGAATAGTCCATTTTCAGTGGTCGAAAATCAAGGAGTAACATATGACAAGCCTGCCAAAGAGTTGACCAAAGGTGGTTTCTTACATTTTTTTTAATGTATTCTATCTAAGGAATTTACAGCTAGTGGAAAGAGTTCAGTATCTTATTATACAAAAACATGGTAAGACACTTAAGAAGTGAAAACAGTAAAATATGATTGAGTGAGAAAGTTCTGTTATCTGTTTTGGAACTTTGTAACATCCTGATGATAAATATAAGTGAACTGTGGGAACTTGGAACAGACCACTGCATCACAGAGCTTACATACAAGAGGGGTGATCAAAGTTCCCACAGTTCACTTACAGTTAACAGACCACTGCATCACAGAGCTTACATACAAGAGGGTTATTGGTCTGTTGATGATAACTGTAAGTGAACTGTGGGAACTTGTCCTCTTGTATGCAGTGGTCTGTTGTTATTGGTCTGTTGGTGATAACTGTAAGTGAACTGTGGGAACTTGTCCTCTTGTATGCAGTGGTCTGTTGTTATTGGTCTGTTGGTGATAACTGTAAGTGAACTGTGGGAACTTGTCCTCTTGTATGCAGTGGTCTGTTGTTATTGGTCTGTTGGTGATAACTGTAAGTGAA